AGCTGCTGATCAGTTTCAGCAGCAGCTGACTTGGGGACACCTGGGGTTCTTAAGTTGAATCTGTAGTCCAGATTCAGCCACTGTTGAAACTGATCAGTTTCAGCAGCGGCTGAATCTGGACGCCAGTTCCGACTTACATACAGATTCAACTTAAGAACAAACCTATAGTCCCTATCTTGTACGTAACCCGGGGACTGCCTGTATTGTATCAACTAAGTAGTGGTTGTCAACTTCTTTTCATTTGTGAACCCACAAACATTTCCAATGGACATAATTTGCACTGTTGAAACTGATCAGTTTCAGCAGCGGCTGAATCTGGACGCCAGTTCCGACTTACATACAGATTCAACTTAAGAACAAACCTATAGTCCCTATCTTGTACGTAACCCGGGGACTGCCTGTATTGTATCAACTAAGTAGTGGTTGTCAACTTCTTTTCATTTGTGAACCCACAAACATTTCCAATGGACATAATTTGCAGATGCCCAGGGATCCTCTGACCACCGGTTGAAAACCGCTGAGGTAAAGCAACCATGCTACCTGGCCACTTGAGCTCTGGGGCTGGAGCCTGGGTGTGCTCTGGCAGTGTGGTCCAAGGGCTGGGCTGCTAGCTGGGGCTTTGTGACCCTACCTAGCCATGCTGGACTGGGATTGTGGGCCATGAGGAGTGTTGGTTTGGGCTCCTATGGGGGAGGGGGCAGAAGTGTAGGTGTGGGCCCAGCACTGGCACAGGAAGCCAGTATGGTGGTCAGCAGAATTAAGAGGCTCACTGCTAGCTAGCCATGCTCTTACCCATGTGCGGCACTGGAGCTCACTGGCTTACTTTCACCTTTGTTATGAGCAGTATGCCATAAATAAGGCCTTGCAATCACACACTGAAGAATGATGAGAAAACAAAATGTCTAACAGCTACTTGTGAAATGAGTATGGTCAGTGCTGTGCACTGAATAAGGCCTAAGTCCTGTGGAAAAAATTATACGTGACCACGTAATTAAAGACTCTGTCCCCATTAGGACTGCCATGTGTCCAGTATTCACCCAGACAGCCCTGTATTTTTGCCCCCACGAGGCATACCGTGGAGGTCGACAAATGCCTTTGATGTCAACCATGGAGCGTCCAGACTACAGCGCTGAGCCGACAAACAGCTGATTGGCACAGCGCAGCAGCCATTTTAATTTAAATGAAGTGGCGATTATTTAAATCACCACTTCATTTGGGTATGTCCAGTAAACTAATCTACATGGCTCTGGCGACATGCTGTTTCAATGCTATTTTATTTTTAAAAAATGTTTTTGGCTTAAGTCCTTGGAATCCTTTTTTTTTAATTTGTCTCCCCTCTTTTTTTCCCTTCAACAGAATTTTTTCCTGCATATACACACGGGAGCTGAGTGAAGGTTGCACAGGCAACCATCATTCCGGCATTTTCTAACTTTCCTTTGTGATCTGAATAATGTTATTTTAATGTAGTGTTTTATTTATGTGCAATGTTAAATAGAGTGGTGTACTGATTAAGTAAAGGTGGCTTCCAACTCAGATATGCTACATATACTGGAAGGAGTTTTAAACAAAACAAAAATTTGCTTGTGCAACACAATTCATCATTTACTTAACAGAGTATTCTAAACAACTGGGATCTGGATACTAGTTGTCAATAAACAAAAAGGCCTGGATGTATAGGCAGCAGCCAGCTAGCAAGGCAAATAAGTGACTGGATTTTTCTCATTATCAGATCATGGAGTCCTCTTGGTTATCTTGTCTCTGAGCTCTCTAAGGACAAGGCCTGTGAAGTAATGTTTGAAGAGAGAAGGCAGCCCGTCAGGTCTATCTGTGCACTGTCACCAGCAGACAGCTATGTAAATAAAAGTCTTCTTTAGCTAGTGGAGGCTGGCAGATTAAGGGAGTTTATATGTTAATACAGTTGGATAGCAAGAGAAATTCCAACAACACAGAAATGAAAATGTTCCCAGCTGAAATGTCTGAAGTTTTCTCCTGGTTATGCAGCTGTGGGCGTTTGGTTTTGTGTTTTTCTTTTTTTGCGATACATTCTTTTGATCAGTAACATAAACTTCAGATCATTTCCACCCCCAAATGTTGATGAATGAAAGGAATACTTCACTAAAAGTACCTTTGCTGCAACTGTTATTGTAATAAATGGTTAAATACAGTAGTTAAATGTCACAGCATCTGAACAGTGTGGATTAGCCATTGGGCCAACAGGGCTCAGGCCTGGGGGCCCCATGCCCACCTGGTGCTCCTTCTGGGGAGTGGGCTTGCTGTGGCCCAAGGCACACAAACCCGTAATCCACGTTTTCATAATGTAAGGGAGATAGTTCATCTGCTGCACTATTTAGCATTCATGGGAATAGATAGATATTAAGAATTACAAGTAAAAAAATCAGTTAAAATTAACTTAGAGGGCAAAATTCTGGCACAAGTTTTGCTGGTGTAATTCTGGAGTAATTCCAGTGACATGAAGACATCTCAAAAGTATTCCAGTGTTTCCTTTTGGATGAAATCAGTGAAAGTCAGCTTGAGTCATCTGGACAAGAGAGATAATATTTTTCCTTGTTCGGGTATTATTTTGTGTTGGTATATTTTGTGTCTGTAATGCCAGAGATGCTGATCTGATCTTCAGTTATCACAAGAAACAGCTGAAGAATCTAACAGGCTGGATGGTGTCAGATTGATAGGATTGGTGGTGATAATTCTTGAGACCAGATCACGTACTCTGCTCGAAACATGATGCCTTCTCAGAGGAACTTTCCATTTTAGGCCCCATTCCAGAAAAAAAACTGAAGCACATGCTTAAGTGCATTCTTCTTCATGGCAATAGTTAAGTTATATGTATAAAACCTATTCGCCTATTGTGCCCTTTCTGAATAGAGGTGATTTCTGAATTGGACTCTAGTCCCAATCCAACAAAGCCCTTTAACATGTACTTAAGCTGTGTCAGCTGAATTCAGTGAGACTACTCACATGTGAAAAGCTAAGTGATTTGGGGGAACAGAAGCTAGGCAGAAAGACAATGACTTGATACAAAATTGTACTGTCAAACATAGAAGATGGTGCTGCCTTAGGACCAAATTCTGATCCTAAAAAAGTCAACATTAATTGACTTTATTGGATCAGCATTTGGCCATATTAGGACCCCTCCATCCTTTTCACCTGTACGATTATGTAGATTCAAGGTATATCCTGTTTTTCATTAGTCCTGAGGAGAGAATGCACTTTTGTAATTTACCTGTGTTGCTGTCTGATCACTAAAGAGAATTGTTACATCTATAAAGTGCCCTAGGCCATGTTAGTACATAGTGCTTTTTTGTAACCAAGGAGGATGTTGGGGAGAGCCACAGGGCTGGAGGATCTGAAGGAGAGAAGGTGGGTGCGGTAATATCTTTTGTTGGACCAGCTTCTGTTGGTGGAAAGTCCAGTCTTTTGAGCTTCACAGAGCTCTTCCTCTGATTTTGGGAAGATAACCAGAGTGTAACAGCTAAGATGAGACAGGTTGCTAGCATAAGGGGTTCGTTTACACATGCTGTAGAACACTTAAAATAAACTGGGCAATTAACCATTTTGCAGTCCTAGATAGTAGGCAGCGGGCTATGTTTATAAATTGTTGTGATACTAATGTGTCGTAAAACTAGTGACTCTTTTAACTAGTTTTAATTATTATTAAAGTATTAAATTATTGTTAACTGTATGGTTTTTAATGTCCAGCCGAATTATGAATAAGTTCCCAGGCTCAGCTTTTGAATGAATTGTGCAGGTTTCCTGTGAGGATGAGGATTGGGAAGTCAGACATAGCGGGTTTGCTTTTTTTAAAAGTATCTTCCCACCGGTGAATTTGTCTTTTATCACTTGTCTATATGAGTTCATTTGCCACAGCAAGGCTCCTGTTGTGGCAACACTTCAGTGTCCCTTCCCCTTTTGCTCCCCTTCTTCGGTGGCCCTGCTGGTAGAGTCTGGCAGCAGTGGGGCAAAAGGGGCAGTGATCTTAAAACGCTATCACAGCAGTGCTACAGGATCCTAGTGGCAGTGCTGCTGACAGGAGGGGAACAAAAGGGGCAGATGCCCTGGGGTCCAGTAATCTGAAAGGGCCCTAGGCTCCAGCTGGCACAGCAGCTGCCAAAAATCCTGGACCCTCATATCGCTGCTGGAGCCTCAGGACTCCTGGCTGCTGCTGTTGTGGCCTCAGGCTCCACCGTGGTGGCCGTGAAAGGCTGGATGGAGGGGGGAATCTCCCTTCACCCGAAACCCAGGATGAGCCCTCTCCCTACATTGCCAAGGATTCTGAGCCTGGTACAGGTCACAGCAGGCATCTACTTTCACCTCAGGCATTTGAGAGATTAGTTGAAATCCCCCACATGTTGCTACAGGTGCGTTTATGACCTATCGATTTTGAAAAGTGTGTTGTGGGGAGCGTTGATCAGGGTAGCACTGGAGATAGGTCTGCAGATTTTCCATCTGTTGTTCTGGCAAGATCTTGTGCCTCTTTGAGTTGATGTGTCCTGATCTGTGGGGAGCTTAATTCTGAGGGCAAGGTTGGGGCTTGACTGAAGGCCATAAGATCTGATTGGGTATTGATTGTCCTCTGCCTCCAATATGCTTCCTTCTCTGGAACATGAAGTTTCCCCTTTCTTTCCTCATGAGCAATTGTACAATAATTTTTTTTCTTCCATTCCTAACAATATCTGAGGTTCACAGACACTGTTATGAAGTGTGGTGCTGTATATTTCCATTTGTCTTGACTGTTAACATTCTGGGAACTGTGCAGTTAGGGATGGCAAAGATTTCTTTCATTCCCTTTGTTTGGTGTCTCTCCATTAGGAATGTTCCTTTTATTCTATCAAGTTTCTCCAGCACCACCGATTCATTGGCATATTTTTTTCTCCCCTTCCTTCAGGAAGAGCTGGGCATAGCCTGTGAGCTGTTGGAGTCAGACTTCCTCAAGTGCAGCGTGGGATTTCCTTTCATGAGATCCAAGTCCAGGGTAATGTGCTGAGTGAGATTTTCTCTTTCGGGATGATAGCTCGTGAACCCTTTTGTGCCAACAAGGAAAGACAGGCATAGACCTGCAAGGCAAAGGCATGATGGCTTTGTGACACCAATGAGTTTTTATAGCTCTCCCATAGGAACGCCATAGTTGCCTTTTGTAATTGCTATAAGATGGGGCAGCTCTTTCCCCCTGAACAAAGTCAGCAACAGTGCTGTGCCCATTGTAATGCTCATGCAGTGCTAATGGTAGTTGACTGGTGCTTTGCAGCTGCCAGAAAAAAATTGCGTAATGCTTCCTCAGCAGAAAGTTAGAAGAGGAGTCTCTAGCCAATCTATTTTTATTGCCTGGCTTTGTTTTTATTTTGTATCTTCTCATGCTATCAAAAGTACATTGAAGTGCAGTTATGGTTAGATCAATGCCTACAAAAACGACAGCATGCATTTCCATATTGTCTCCCAATGACTGCTAGGTAGAATTGTGCTCAATTAGTTGGCCAGAAAACAAACCCCTTCATACTGGGATCTGAAAATCCAGTTGTGTTCTTTCTGCCACTGGCATTGCCAACAAAAAAATAATGAGATCAAAACTGTATAGTTTTATTGCTCATGGAGTAGACAGAATGATGAAAGCTGTCTCATCTGGGGAACATCTGACCTTTATAATAAGTTAGGGCATCTTTAATACATTGACATGTGCAGTATTCTATAAACTGTCCTACATAATCTTCAGTATTCTAATAAATAAAAACATATGGCAACCAATATTAAGTATATAAAAATAGAATATTTCTGTGCAGATATAGTGCACAGCTCAAGCATGTGTCTGTGTGTGGAGGAGATATGAAATTCTAGAATAGGAAAAGCAATGTATAATAGTCACTAAATGCCACTTTTTCTTTCTATAGTATGACTTCAGTGTGATCTTTGATACAAGCCACTTGTCTGGGGAAGAGGAGTTTCTTTCATTCCTAGTAACTGCCCAAAGGTAAGGTCCCTCATTTGGTCATATTTCTTGGTGCAATTGCAGACTTTTGGCCGTATGAAATATATGCTGTGAAATTCATATATTGCATGACATATAATAAATAACTGAAAGGTAATTATTAGGACCAAAATAATATATTCTGGTGACCTAAAGAGAGCAGAAAGTTGGCTTACCCATGATCCTTAGTATGCTGAAGTGCGTAAACCTGGCACAAGGAGATGTATTGTGGTTGTCTTTGCACTCTTGCTGCCAGATGGGTGCAAATTAGAGCAGTCCTTAGTGTGTTCTAAATTGTATTGGAGGGCAAACCAGATCTTAGTGGACTTCAGAAGCAGAAGATCACAAAGTGGCATGAATTCACCTTTCACTGCTCACCCCGTTGAGCCTTGCACCAAGTGCAAGACTCAGTTGCATCTGAGCATTTGTGCCAGTGCTTGAGTGCAGAAAAGTGATTGGACCCACGTCAAAAAGCATTGTGCATTGATTAGATGGGTGGTCCGGGTTCTTCTTTAACCTGTTGAAAAGTTGCACACACATTTTTTTTCCTGTTGATCATTTGTGTGGTGTGAGTGGCTGCATAAGACAATTGAGTAGTGCCCTTCCCAAAAGAACAATCTGAAACTTGTTACAGAGTGGGTTAGGCTGAATGTCTCTTTGCATACAGAATTCTTATAAATGTATCCACAGGGTTTTGATCTTAGACTCAGTGAAAACCATAACATGCTCTGTCTGCTTTCTAGGAGGCTCTGCCGTAAAGAAACAAAATCTAACTGTGATTAGGTCACAAGAACTCTCTGATGATAGTGTGGCTTTATTAACCTGTGTTCCTAACACTGCCACTACTGAAATATGATTAGCTGGGGCTTTCATTTTCTGTGAGTGTGACTGCAGATGCATGAAGAGGCCCATTTTGCATCCTTCCATGTCAAGATGAACATAATCACTTCTAATCCCTCCATCCCCACTTGCATGATCAACCCCACTCCTGAACGGCTGGAGATGAGAGATCAACACTAGCAGTTGCTCAGTGATTCTTTTCTCATAAGCATCCTCCACTCCCAAAATGACAGGTGTGTGGAACAAGATCCTGTAGCTTGTGCTGCTGCTATGAAATACTGTAAGAGAGCCCTTCACATCAGAGGGCCAAGACTGTATGTGTCTAATATGTTAGAGAAATGTTGTTATCCATGAAGAACAGTTCATCCACTCTATAGCAATCTCTTGTATAAGTCCTACTTGTTGCATGAACTTAGTTCCATGGAGTCTCCTTTAATTTCAGTCAGTGTTTTCCAGAACTTGTAAAACATAATGAAGAGAAATATGTATATAACTCACTTCCCTGGAGTCAGATCCATCTCTCAATATACTTAGTAAAGTTTTCCTGGTGTCTACCCTAATTTTATGAGGAACCTATGTTAACCTATGAAGAGCCTTCCATTAAATCATGCATTCTATACTCCAAATCGCTGTACACAACATAGAAAGAGCCTAAAAGGGTTCTCCAAGTTAGTTTTCACTTTGTATTTATGAAATGAAGACTATGTAGTGCTGGTTCAAGGAAACCCTTATTTCCCTCCCCTGCAAAGCACAGGTTTAGGGGAAGGTGTAATAGGTTGTCAATCCCTCTGGGGTGGGAGAAATCTATAGTGCATCAAGAACTTGTGTGTGCATGTGTGTAGATAGTTTGGAGAATCAGAATAATTAGAGGGAAGTTTTATATATAAAGAAGGACATAAAGCACAGACTTGTGGCTAAGACTTGAGGTCTGGATTCGTATCCTGTCTCCCTCACTTTATATTATGAGATGGAGAAGTTAAGTACCTGAACAAGTAGGTTGTGCCCATGTAAACTCATGATACCATCTACATTTTTGTTAGTCTCTAAGGTGATGTAGCACCATTTGTTGTTTTTTAAGTTTAACCAACAAGTTCTACTTCTTCTAGCAAAATGGGATAATATTACTTCTCTGCCTCACTACAATAGTGAGAGCCATAGAAAAACTAACAAATAATGAAAATGAGAGGAAACCTGTAATGTGCCCCAGTCAAGCTGTGATAAAAGGAACTTCCGTATTCACAGTGTACTCAAGCCAGCACTGTAGAACCATCTTAGCATTGAACGATTCTTACTTCCTATCCGAAGTGCTGGAAGTGTAGGAAGTGCATGTCTCTCTAGAAGTTAATCCTTTTCCAGGTAGTAGGGGGCTCCCAATGGGCTCATTGGAGATGCAAGTTGGCTAGCACAGTCTGAAACAGCCTAACGGAGGAATAGTCTAATATTTACTGTACAGAAACATGCACTTTTTGGGGAAGCAACATGGGTCATTAGAGCAGCATTCACTAAAGCTTTAATCTCCGGTAATACCCCGTGTGGGCAGAAATGTTGCTCCTTTTTAGAGGGATAGACTCACTGGTGTATACCTTTAAATTCTGATTGCTCACAGATGACTAGTTCCACTTTCAGGCACTGCATCTCCTTTGGTATTTTTGTGACATGCTACAAAATGGCACTGGTTTTGGAGACTTAAAACCTGTGCAAGAGGAAAGGATGTCATAAAATGTTTGTTGTGTGGGGTGGGGTATTTGGAGTTCTCTTCTGGCATGTGGTTTTGTTTAGTGATAATCACATCAAAGAAGGCTGTGCTGTATGGTACAGGTTGCACCCCTATAAACCAGGACTCTGATGCTCCAGGATCAGTTTGTCCTGGTGCTCTGTGGTAGGGCCACGAATCCGGCGTGATGCAGGTCAGAGCCCGGGAGTCTGGCATGTGAGGGGAGGGGCTGGGAGCTGGTGTGTGACTCAGCTGGGCTGGGAAGGTGGGAGGGCTGGCAAGGCCAGCATGCATGACCCAGCTTTGCAGGGGGATGGGAGGGTGTGTGAAGCCAGGAAGCCTGGTGCGCAACTCAGCTGGGCTGTGGGGGTGAGGCAAAGGGAGGATGGAAGCCTGGAAGCCCAACATGGCTCATCTGGGCTGTGGGGGAGCCAGGGAGGCCGGCATAAGGCCCAGCTGGACTTGGGAGGGAATGAAAGTGGGGCAGAAAGTCCAGCATGTGACCCAGCTGGGCTGCCAGGGGAACCAGGAGCCAGGAAGCCTGGTGGGAAGGGCAGGGCAGGGGGTGGGGCCATCTGCAGGGGCTCCAGAAATGACCTCCCCTGATCCAGCAAAATCCCTCTTCTGGGACCAGTCAGGTCCCAAGGGTGCCATACCAGGGAGGTCCAACCTGCAATAACAGCCACTTACTCTTGGGGGCATTCTGTGGCCCTCCCACCCCGCAAAAAAATTATAAAATTAAAATTCTGCACAAAATATTTTAAAACTGTTTGTTTTATTTGTCAATAAATAAATGCAGAGTCTTCAACGTGGGGGGGCTTGGGCCACTGGCTGCATGAAGATGAGAGATCACTCCACCTTATAGCCTTGCTGCCCACAACATAAACTCAGTGGTGAGGCGAACACAGCACAAGGCCTGGGCCTCCCTGAGAAACACCCAAGGGTTCTGTCCCTCTGTGCCAGGTGCACCAGGCCAGGGCAGCCTGGTTCAGTCAGGCAGGATCTAAGTGTGAAGGGGCTCAGTATGGAGAGATCCAGGTATGGGGCGAAAGAGTTTTGTGTGGGCAGGTGGCTCAGGTATGAGGGCGGGGATCCAGATGCCCAGAGGCTCAGTGGAAGGTTTCCAGTGTACTGGCATTCTACAGGGGCTTCCAGGTGATGATAGTTGGGATTTGGCCAAGGGGGTCTGGATTTGGAGGTCCCTGCGGGGGGTCTGGGTGCTGGGGGAGAGGGGCTTAGTGGTGTGGGAATATGGATGTAGCTGTTAGGGATCAGTGCCCTGGGGGGCGCAGAGTGGTGCAGAGTGATGAGGCTCACCAGGGGGCTTGAGTGCACGGAGCTCAATGAGGGTGGTTTCTGTGCCGGGGATCTCCAAATGAGGTTCAGTGGGGTGGAGTTCAGCTATGGAGGGCTAGGGTAAGGCTGTACCAGGTGAGGCTTGGCAGGGGTGTCTGGGGAAGGGAGGTCTGGATGCATGGGGGTTGGGCATGGGGGTTGGGGTGGATGGGGGAGCTGCTCCCCGAGCAATGACACCTCCTCCCATAGCTAAGAAGAGATGGGGGCAGGAAGTAGGGGAGGATGCGTAACTTCATGCATCTGGGGAAATTTTCTAGAAGTTGGCCTGACACAGCCCCAGCCACTCCTTGCAGAGGAATAAGTCCTGTCTCCAGACCAGCTGGGACTAGCAGCTGATCCTAGGGTCGGATTCACTGGCTGGGGTGTCCCCAGCCCTGCAGTAATTTACCCCTCTTCTGGCTGTTCTGGGGACCTGAAACAGTGTACCTGTACTGCTAGGGAGTACTGTATGACTGCTCTTGCAGGTTCCCTTTGCTTTCATGTCAGAAAGTCATTTTTTGTGTGTGGAAACAAATAAATATATGGGTAATATGAATTCTGCACATGCGCAGTGGCACAGAATTCCCCAAGCAGTAAACAGTCCTATTGAACACATGTAGCTGCCTGCAAGTCCAGCTTAACATTTCATACAGCACGTACCCAAGATGTCTGTTATAGCCTTGGGAACACTACCCTATAATAAGTTGGTTTTGTTTGGTCAAATGTTTAGGTTCATGAATGACTCTAGTACCACCTTGATAACAGAAAGCCAAATTGAAATAATACAGTAAAACTCCAATAGTCCGGCATCCAATAGTCCGGCACTCCTGATAGTCCGGCATCAAAATGGCAAGAGCCTAGTGAGTGAGCTTCGGCAAAAAATGAGTCACAAGGTAACAGCAGCAGCAGCAGCTGAACTGAGCAAAAAGGGTAAAAAAGGCTTAAAAAACCTAAAACATTACAGTATACTGTATACAGTATGTACAATAAAAAGGGTTAAGAATACTTTATAGTATATATATAATGTATACAGTATATATATAACCAGCTTATAGTACCTCCTGATAGTCCGTCATATCTGATAATCCGGCACCACCTAGGTCCCATAGGTTCCGGATTATCGGAAGTCTACTGTACTTAGAAAAGGTAGTTCAGAATGATTTTTCCATCTTTTGTGACATTCAGGCTCACCGACAAAATAAGTGTCTTTGCAATTTTGTCCTCAGAATAAATCGTTCTTCACAAAGGCATACAGCATTCTCCATAAATATACATGTGCCATTTGTGGAGAGGTTCATTTTATATAATAATGTTGATTTAATACAGCGCTATTTTAAAGCATGCTACCAAATAGTAATCTAGATCATAAACCCCATAACCATCCTTTTACCCACCTCTGGAGCATCACAGCTGTTTTTGATGGTATGAGCAACATTCTGCACCCGGGATAAGGCATGAAAATTAATGTGTCAATTTAAAGCAACGGGGAACTTAGGAAGGCAATTACTGAAGTTGGAAATTGGCCACATTTGGGGCCCTTCCTCCTGAGAAATGTACCATAGAACTGTCAGTGACCTGAAGTAATCCAAAAGACTTTAGTGTTTGTGCCATTCAAAAGACAGTATCACAGTGTTCTCACCTATCAGAAGCATTGGCTCTTTGCTCACTCAGGCTAAGTCTACACTACAGAGGGTTTGGTGGGTTTTTTTAAAAAATGGCCATTTTTCCAAAAAACTTGAATTCTGGCCACACTGCAATCATGTTCTTTTGAAAGAAAATCGGAAGAACAGAGGGGGTTTTCTGACATTGGTAATCCACGTTCTATGAGGAAGAAGCCTTTTTCCGAAAGAGCTCTTTTGGAAAAAGGGGTGTATGGACAGGGAAGAGGGAGCTCTTTCAAAAGAAGAGGAAAGAGGCAAAAGCACAGGTGCCCTGGTGCCCATTCCACCCATAGTAACCACAACTTATATGTGAGATAGTGTCTATTCAGTGTGGATGCTATCTTTCAGAAAAGCAGATTGCGTTTTTGATGCGCTTGGGCAGTGTGGACCCTCTCTTTTGGAAGAAGTTTTTTCAGAAGATCTCTTCCAGAAAAGCTTCTTCCAAAAGAAGCCTGCAGTCTAGACATAGCCTCAGTGGGAAACATGCTGTATACCAGCAATGGAAATGGGCTTTACTCTTTACATTTGAATTTAGATCTAAGCTGTTCTGAAAGTACCTTTTGTAACTGCTTTGTCGATTTACAGACATCCACATCACTTGAAATTACACCAAAGTACATATTTCTCACGGCATGATATGAAGTCAACAGTACTGATTTGGAATCATCTCAAAAACTTTTAGGAACGTTAAGAATCTCAACTTTGGTTTGGCCCAGCTTTGGGGATAGCAATATAGCAACAAAATTTGGATTCAGATCCAAACTTTTTCAGAAATCAAGGATTTTTAGATTTAGAGTTTTGCTCAACTCCATTTAGCTTATGAGAGCTGATGAGTTTACAGTCCAAGGAAGTATAGTTGGTGATATGCTTCTTATTGAGAAAACCTATGACTGAAACTTCTTGATTGTCATTTTCTTATGCCAAGAAGAGGTAATCTAAAGTAATATTTGGCGGACTCTGAACATGATATCACATTTCTACTTGTGGGTTTTATTATCCAGTGCCTCTAAAACTGGAAGGTCAGAGAGATTTCCAGAAACAATATGTCTCTGTATATCCCATTGGAATAAATGGACATGATTGTGTATGTGAATGAGAGGTGAATACACCTCTTTCTTTGCTCCATATTTTGGACTTTTGCCAGGCCATGTAATAACACCTAATAAAAACCTATGTGACTTTCATTTTGAAAAACAACTAAATGTGATATAGGATGTTTTAGAGTACAGACCTCCGTCGGTATGCAGGGCTTCCAAAGTACATAGTTTCCAGTAATACTATTTGGAGCTGCTTAACTATAGTTTCATTTACTGATTTGAGAACCGTAGGACCACCAAACTGTTCTGAGACCCCCTTGAAAAGAACGGCACAATATGGCAGATAGAGTGAGTAATTTGATTGATTGTAAATTATTTTGAGTATGTCTGGTATGTAAGATGGAGACTTGCCATTATTTTACTGCAGTAGTTTTCCATGTCAAGTGAATTTAGAAGGGTTCTCATCTTATAGGTACATTTTCAGCATCTCTCTTAGAGTGTGTGTCTGCACTGCAGGTGGGGATGTGCAGTAAGCTGAGTACAAGCCCTCCTGGACCCTCTTTGGATGGCTAGCTTAAGAGGGCAGCTGTTCCAGCACAGAGAGATAATGCAAGTCTGTGTTCCTGAATGGGAAGCATGATCCCAACTGCAGTGTAGATCTGCCCATATAGCATCTGCACAAAGGCAGTCCAGAAGAGACAAACTTTGTGTGTATGGATGCAATTTACAGATGTAACTGTTAAAAGTCTCTGTAAAATACATCACTCACACACAGAGGCTCAGAGTAAATGGCAGACATGAGTTAATAGCTGCATGACTGCACCCATGTAATTGATTGCAAAGCCTGTAGGTTTACAGCATGCTTATTTGTCCTTTCTGACACAGTGGAAACCTAGAACACTCTGAATCGCTACATGACAACACTTTGACCCTGGCAGTGCCTCTGGTGCATGAAGTGGACTCATCTATCACTGGGTAAGTGACCAATTATCACATGACAAAAAATAAAAATAAAACACTAACAAGAACATGGAAATTTCATCCAGCGGAAATTTACATTCTTCTTTGTTTACATGTGGCCAGAAAGCTGTTTTTTTTCTAGATTTGTTTCCCAGACTTCAAAAACAGGACATCATCATTCATTATCTGGGATTTATTTATTGCACCCACTTCTTCTCCAGCCTGTAACATTAGATAGTTTAGTTTTTGATTTAAGTTGTTGCAGTTCTGTGAATGTGATAGGCCTTTTAAAAAAATAAAGGAAAAAAAAAGACTAAATGAACCAAATCTCATTCCAGAGGATATGTCTGAAGATATGGTTGAGAATTGCCAGGGCAAAGGTTAGGGTCAAATGTTCTGGGATTCTCTGAATAATGGTGAGACCTAACTGTTTGCCTTTCTGTTTAATGTCATAGTCAAAACTAGCTTGTGTTTATACTTCAACCCCCATTCTCCTTAGTAGGAAAGGAGTTTGAATAAAAATAGAGAGGTTCACATCATATAAAGGCTGAAATATTTGCAATACACTGGCCTAGTGTGTCTCTGTAGATACATACATGGAGAAAAGGTCCATCAATTACTATTAGAAAGAATGGGAAGGAATGGTATCCCTAGCCTCTGTTTTTCAGAAGTTGGGAATGGGAAAACGGACCATTTGATGGTTACCTATTCTGTTCATTGCCTGTGGGGCGCTTGTCACTGGCCACTGTCGGGAGACAGGATATTGGATTAGATGGACCTTTGGTCTGACCCAATGCGGCCATTCTTATGTCCCTCTCTAGAGATTGGATCTCATAAAAAGCTGTTGTCTATAAACTACGGGTATGACTACACAGCAGGGCTAAAGTCGAATTAAGCTACACAACTTAAGCTATGCAACTGATGTAGCTGAAGTCAAAATAGCTTAGCTCAGCTTTAGGCACTGCCTACACTGCAGGAAGTTGAAGGAAGAACATTCTTCCTTCGACTTCCCTTATTCCTCGTGAAATGAGGGTTACCATGAGTCAGAGTAAGACATCCTCTAGTTCGACATTATTTCGACATAGAGGCTTGTAGTGTAGACGTGCACTATGTTATTTCAGAATAATGTCAGTTATTCCAAAATAACGCTGTAGTGTAAATGTACTCTTAGGTGCTTGACCCTTTAGATGTGCCATTTGATGCTAAACCTTTTAGCTCTAGAGAGTCAAGATTCAAATCCCAAGAGGCGATCCGGGCAGTAACTAACTCGGAATTAGATGACCCAACACCAAAGTGGAATAATGACGTGCGCTGGGCTCGTGTGGTTTACATGTACCTTCCTCTCGGGGAATCCCACTCTGAGCATTCGGTGTCTGCAAAACTCCAAGCCCTATGCTTACCACCATTTCTAACAACCCTCTGAATGGATCCTTTGTGGGGAGGGAATCCATGTCACATGACCATCTACTGTCTGAGCTAATGGACATGACACTACTTTATCATTAGCAAAGGACAAAGACACCACTTGCGCACTATTACAAATTGTGAGAGAACAGATACCTGCATTTATTTAAATTCACTGTGTGAGTCAGTGAAGGATGTGGGTAAACCTTTGGGTTTATGGCCAAGTCAGCCTTTGATGTTTTTGGCTTGTTTTCCTGTCACACTATACTGGAAGAAAGTCACATAACTCCAGTTATTGGGTTTATGGCCAAGTCAGCCTTTAACGTTTCTGGCTTGTTTTCCTGTCACACTACACTGGAAGAAAGTCACATAACTCCAGTTAGTGCACATAGCTGCCAAGAATGTGGAAGATGTGGGTGAGCCTACTCAGACAAGAGAAGAATATCATCAAACTTCAACCTTTATTGAGATGTGAAAAAGTCTGGATAACCTTGTCATTCATTTTCATTTTTAGCATGTCTGCACTTGCAGGCTCCAAAGAGCCATTAAGATTGTGTTTGTCTGACTACTGCTGTTGAGGAGGAAATACAGCATAGACAGTAGGGTGGGAAGGAAAGGGTTCCATTGCCTTACCTCTCCTAAATCTCTGCATGAACTCTACGCCACACTATCAATCCACAAATACATCTAATATAGATGACAGATGGAGATGACTGAGTTCATGTCTTAACTTTTCAGAACTGTCTCCCCAACTTCCTTTGTTTATGGCGAGTCTGTGGAAGCATCCAACTTTGTTCAGCTGGAGAATTATGAATGTCTTTTTCAGCCTCTCAACTTCACTCTTCAGGTAAAATTGACCCACATTTACAGCTTTTTCTCTTGATAGCACATTTTATTGTTTGGGGAGATTGGTGCACATTTCTTTATCCCAGTATACTGTATTATACGTACATTTTAGGATATTGTGTCCACAGTGGACTAAAATAGTCTGCAGAGACGGTGTTTTTCCTTATCTTAATATATTATTAAAAGATTTGCAAATAGGGTATATCAGTTTCATGAACAGGGAGCTGCTGCTGTTTTTTCCCTTTCATCACATGCAGAATGAATAGTTCTGTTCGTTGTAGTGCTACATCTAAGGTTCAGTCCAAGTTTCCAAAGGTAAGAACCACTATTTTCAGTGGCATAGTGCTTAAACCAGAGGATCAAGGGTTGCTGCATGTGAACGTCAACATTACAGTGTGCACAGTGCTTCTTCCTAGAGAATAATGCAAAGAATGGACCAGAACTGTGCAGTGCATCTGTGTTTGCATGGGAGTTTAACAGCACAGGATAGGGTGAGAAGTGTTCATTTTAAACATGTGAGACAGTGTCTCAAAATTACCTGTGCAGGTCTATGGGATCATCCTTGTCATGTGGATAACATTGCTTCTGGTGCAGTATAACTTGTGGGATGCATGTTAGATCAAGAGCTTTTGATAGGACCAAAAGGAACTCATCTCACTATTTGACTGTGTTATGGTTACCTTTACGCATCCTTTTTTACCACTAGATGGAAGTAGGGGATGACAGATCATGCAGATGTGGGAGGATGGGGGATCATTTGTAGAATATTGTAAACAATCATTTTTCATTTTCCCTTCTTTCTCTCCACTGTTCTCTTAGGCATGATGCCACTTAACTCATAATGGGTAACACATGCCTCCATCTATGGGCAGGCTAAAGTCCAGAGCAGTTAAGCCTCTCCTGTCATGCGCAGCCTGTAGCTATTTATTAAAAAGGAGAAAAAGCAGGGTGTTCAAACTGGGATTTCAGTATGGTAAAGCTCTTGTGAACCAGACTCCTAGTTCCTGTGACTCTGAATTTATTCTTGGGGATTTGCAGTTTTTCCATAGTCATTTATTGGTTAGAAAATAGATAAAGACCAGATGTACTGATGTTTTGACTAAATGATAACTTTCCATAAAAGAAAATTATACAGAATGTATAAGAATAGAATCTATACATGAATAATATATCCCTCTCTCCTGATCTTTCAAGCAAACACAAGTTGCAATGTGAGAGTTTTCATATAGAAATTGAAAATTATATTATAACAAGTCACAAATCTGCCCTCCAGTACCGTGGTAAACCTCAGAATGTGTGTGTGTGCGTTAAAACGCAGACTGTGTGTGTGTGTGTGTGCGTGTGCGTGTGTGTCACAGAGAGGTGGGGGGGAGAGAAAGAGGGTTCATAATGAGGAAAGCATGGTATATACCACAATTTGTTTAATTGTTTTTAATGATTTGCCTACCATTTATTAAACTTCTCCAGATGGAGAAAAGTAAAAAATTTTTCACCAGAAAAGAGATGAATTTATAAAAACGCATAGGGCTCGTCTACACTGGCCCCTTTTCCGAAAGGGGCATGCTAATTTCACAGGTCGTAATAGGGAAATCCACGGGGGATTTAAATATCCCCTGCGGCATTTAAATAAAAATGTCCGCCGCTTTTTTCCGGCTTTTAGAAAAGCCGGAAAAGAGCGTCTACACTGGTCCCGATCCTCCGGAAAAAAGCCCTTTTCCGGAGGATCTCTTATTCCTACTTCAAAGTATTTAGATTATACAACAAATTATGTACAACAAGCCTATTCAAAGTAGGAATAAGAGATCCTCCGGAAAAGGGCTTTTTTCCGGAGGATCGGGGCCAGTGTAGACGCTCTTTTCCGGCTTTTCTAAAAGCTGGAAAAAAGCGGCGGACATTTTTATTTAAGTGCCGCGGGGGATATTTAAATCCCCCGCGGATTTCCCTATTACGACCTGTGAAATTAGCATGCCCCTTTCGGAAAAGGGGCCAGTGTAGACGTAGCCATAAGGTTTTGGGCAATTTTTATCTGTGAAAATCTGCATTGAGGCAAATGTTAAAAAAACCCACACACACAAGAAAAGGAAGGGCCCTTGCTTGTTGTACATAATTTGTTGTATAATCTAAATACCTCTCATTAAAATAACTATTTTTCCTTATCATGGTGGGATTGTCCATTTTTAAATTTCAAATTTGTTACCTTATGCTCATGTTTCAGGCAGTATTTGTGATGCTTTATTGTAGATGGAGCCTCCTCTCCTTTCTTGTGCCTCAGGGCTCTTGTAAAGACTTGGCATTCTAAGCAAGTCCTCTTTATTATTCATGCATTCCTCAAAATATATACAATGCCTCAAGAAAGAAGACTTGTATTTTAATATTTATAGAGCTTCGGATGCTCAACAATGCTGGTGTGGAACATTATATATTTAGACAATGAAATCTCAACATAGTTGAATGTTTTTAATTGGATTGTTTAATATTTTGATTATATTTGTATGTATTAGCGGTGGTCAGAAAATGTTTTTCCCTTTCCATGAAAAATGTGGGCAAAATATTTTAAACATGAATTTTTCATGGATATTTTGAGGGGTGGTTTTTTTGCGGGGAAGAGGAGTGTGTGTTTTATGAAAGCTGTGTATTTTATGCCTGAAACTTTTCTGTTCGGGCTAGACACTCTTTTGGATTACAATGAAAAGTCAAATCTTGTTCTGTTGAACCTCCCCAAAATCTAAACCTGCATTAAGGATGCTCAAGTGCATTCCTTATCAACACAGTTGTTAAACCCAGAGGTCCAGTAGCCAAGTTCATCAGTCCATGTTGGTTTGTGCTCCTTAAGAAAAACACACACAAATTATAATGCAGTAGTTATTATAATGGAAAGGAATTCCACTGATAGGGAAAGCAGTGCTCTTTTCATTCTTCTAAACAGTATTATTAACACATTCAAAATGTAATCATTGACCATGTCTCCATATAATAGACAAAAGCCACATGCCATTTAAGTTGATATGTGGTTTTTTGTTTACTTGCCACTGTACATCAATACTGTGTTCACTGTGTACACTGGGTGAAAATACTAAATATCAAAGGAGTAAAAATTAAACTAAGCCCTACTGCTGTATCCCGTGCATTGTATAAGAGTTCTTAGTGAATACTCTCAAAAATGGGGAACATGAGTGAACTTTGGAAATATATCTGTAACCCCTGTTCCCTCTGAGTAATTGTGTAAAGTCAATGAAGAGAATTACAGTTCTGCAATAATTTTATATTTATGATCTTTTACATGTGTACTTGTATTTATATGCATTTTTACACTTTAAGGTTTACAACAGTGGACCAAGCACTCTCCCTGAATCTTTTGTTGAGATTTTGTTTCCTAACCGCCTCTCTGCTAGTGGGCCTGAAACTTTTCATATTCAGCAAATGATGGTGAGTACTTTGTCATGTTTCTTCAAATGGTAAAACTTCTTGTTTCTCACAGACACCGCATTAACTGCATTCTGATTAAATAATTTGCTCTATAGTGGAGTCTGATGCTAATCCACATGCATTTAGATCAGTTTTCTGATCATACATATCACCATACATATCCAACTTAAAACTAAATATAATATTTATATCATATTATGCATCATCGTTAACAAAAATCAGTTTTTTTTATGGTTGTTTATAGATGCTAGTAGCTACATTTAAAAAAATGTGTCTACCGTCAATAAAACCATCCCATGCAGATGTTCTGACAAAGGATTCACTTTTGGGGTTTCAGGAGTTCTTGGCTATGTCTACACTGCAGGCTTCTTGCATAAGAACTGTTTTGCGCAAGAGTTTCTGTGCAAAAATTCTTGCGCAAGAGGGCGTCCACACTGCCATGTGCTTTTGCACAAGAGCGTCCATGGCAGTGTGGTTGCTCTCTTGCACAAGAAAGCTCTGATGGCCATATTAGCCATACAGGTTTCTTGCGCAAGAAACCCCTGTTGCCCGTCCACGCTGTCTTCTTGCGCAAGAGCTCTTGGGCAAAAGGGCTTATTTCTCGTGGAGAGGAATAAGTCTTGCACAAGAAGCCCTCTTTTCCGACCCTTTACTGTACATTTACTTGTGCAAGAATGTGCGTGTAGTGTAGACGCCCCTCAAGTTTTTACGCAGAACAGTCGTTCTTGCACAAAAAGCCTGCAGTGTAGACATAACCTTAAAGTTTGGGTTAATCTGATAATATATCATTTTCTATATTGATAAGATAGTAAAAGGAAGAATTGGCTAGGTATCTGATTCATTCCTCTCCTGTAAAAATTCATAGTAATTGGATGTGTATGGGAAACTATTCAGAAAAGGAATAACCACCAAATTCAAACTCACAAGTAAGTTGGGAGACTTTCTGTGGTTGTTTTTCTAGTATTTTGGCTGGAAACGTTGCTGCAGCTGCTCTGTGTTTTAAATGCAAGTGTTTCTGTCACTTGGATCTATGCAAATATATATGCAGTGGCATCTTTCTTTACACCTAACCAATATCCCTGTACATGCCAGTCAGTTTGTAGAGTAATAGCAGGTGAAAAGGCCCACTTTGTATTACTACTTTACTTATGCCTCTTTTCCAGGCTTTGTACCTTGAAGACTTTGGATATTTGTAGAAAGATTTAGAAGCAGGGAGGGAAGAACCAGCATTATGTTACCTGCCAAAGCCGCTCAGATTGAGTCTATATTCAAGCCATTGAAGGGCTTTTTTTTTAACCTCTCATGCCTTTTTAATGCTTTGTTCAGCCTACTTTAAAATGAAGAAGACAGTCCAGACTCGGTACCATGTTGTCCATTATATGCAATGTGCTGTTTATATGTTTATATACTATGCACAAAGTACATTAATTTTATTTTACAGGCTTCTGCCCATAAATTTTAATACTTGCTCCCCATGGGACTGAGTTATGGGTGCCAGGGCAGATGTTAAAATTCCAATTTTAGGCTTAATCCTGAAAGTTGGAGTTATGCAATTTTCATTGGCATCATGACTTCTCAGGATCTGGTCCCATTATGTGTTGGAAATGTAGGTACCTGTTTCATGCTAACAATGATATAACCCTCACTTTCTCCAGATTATGACATGCTTTTCACTGGTATTACTGTTCTCTATCTAAGAAGATTATAGCATAGGGCCCCCGTCACTGTAGCATCCCATAAGCATTAGGGAACTTACCCTCACATACTGTCTGTGAGATAGAGGAGTGTTTTACAGATGAGGAGTTGAAGCATAATGAGATTAAGTGATTTGCGTGATGTCACACAGGAAGCCTGTGTCAGAGCTGACATTGACTCTATGTCTCCTAAGTTTGAGTACAGTGCCTTAACCACAAGACCACACTTCCTCTCTGCTAAGGTTTTATTGACTGAAAAGGGGAAATTAAACCATTGAACTTTTGAGGCACCATAGCACAAAACAAACATCCTTTTAAAAGAATTATATCCAAAAGCAGCAGATTGGATTGAACTTTGGAAAATGGGTCAGAAGAAGTTGCTTTGCAAAAGACTTTTGCAAGCATATTTACTAACAATTCCCATGTTTCTGATCAGTATGTACTTCCTTTAGCAAAAACATCAGCTGATGCAATTGTGCAGAAGAATAGTGTCCCTTTCATAGCAAAGTTACCTGAAAATTATTCTTTTGCTTTCACATTCTTAGGCTATGTCTAGACTATGATTATCTATTGGAAAAAGTACGCAAAATGGGCTTTTCCCATCTACACTGGCCCAAATTTCGGAAAATCCTCCTTTTTTGGAAGAGCCCTTCTTCCCCGTAGAAGGAGGAAGACAGGGCTTCCAAAAGAATGTGTCTGCTCTGTCGCAAAAAAAAAAAAAAAGAAAAAAAAAGACGCAAAGGAGCAGACGCATTCCCTGGACGTGGCGGAGTTTTTCTGGGATACCACTGGTATTCCGGAAAACCTCCATAGTCTAGACATAGCCTTAGAAGTCAACTTTCTTACACCTTTCGAATTGGATGGAGTTACCATTATTAATAATGATGTATATACAGTTGCGTAAACAATGTGAATAATTACTGGTTAATTGCCAGGATTTACTCTTAAAATTCATTACATAGGCTTCTTATGTTTTGATGTCATAACAAATATTTCTGAAAGCCATTTAATACTTGTATGTGCTTGTCAAAGTTGCAATTTATGGATGCAAGTACAGAAAGTAACTATGATGTACATTTGTGTTTAAAATGCATATAGAGTATAATGTGATCTATAATGTGCAATGAGCCAATTGTTCTGTATTGTGTGGATTATGTTCTTGCTCCATAATTCACAAAAACAATACAAAGAAAGTTGGATGCAGCCCATTAGAACTGTCTGTGTCTACTGGAGGCATTTGTAGACAAGATTATCTCTTTCTTTTTAAAACAGCTATACTTCTGCTCTGAGATTTTTTCTCTATTGTAGAAATCTAAAAGGTATTATTTCTCAGCAGTGCAATTATGATTGCAGACACCAAAGGCTAAAATACTTTCTGCAGCTCTCTACCTTTTCCTTCCTGAATCACCCAAACAATGCTTGTTTATCCTTGTCCGCCTCCATTGTCCTCTTTTCCCCACCCACCCAGCAAGCAGTTGCTGGTAAGTGCTTTCTTCCTTATCAGCGGGTCAATTGCTGACAATAGAGGAGCTGGGTTATGCATGAAGCACATCCTGGGAGAGGAGGGACTTCCTAGCACGTAGGAAGTGAGACTAGACTTGCTCCTCCCAAGAAACTTGACCTGCTATATGACAACAACTCAAAACTTTTTTCCCTGGCAAAGCAACCTCAGAACACCCATAGGGCCTAAGAAGTTAGCAGTGTTCTATTATAATAATCTAACCATGCTATTAAAACAGCTGCTGCAGACAAAGGTGCCATTTGCACTCTAGCCGTGTGCGTGTGCGCGCGCGTGCACAATTCCAGAGTCTGGCCGTCTTTAGGAAATTCGCGCGCGCGCGCGCACGATTCCAGAGTCTGGCCGTCTTTAGGAAATTCAGAAAAAACCTTTCTCTTCCCAAAGGCTTTTCCACCACTAGAATGACACTTTCAATATTGCTACTCCCAAACGCTAATCAATCAACCTGAAATAAATCAACCTACACAAAAAAGCCAAGACCAAAAGAGAATTCTAATAAATGCAAACAATAATAAAAAATCAAAGCCTTCAACTGTGAGAAGAGGATTTACTCTAAAAAGGAGATGTGCCAGAAATTCCATGAAGTCCATTTGTGACATTGCTATTGCTGTTGACTTTATGTGGGAGGCACTCAGATGTTATAGTAATGGATAGTAGTGTAAAATCCAAGCAGATAAGTAGAAAACATATTCCGTAATAATTTGCACTTATGTAGCACCTTTTCTTCAAAGATCTCAAAGCAATTTCCAAACATTAAAATGTCTCAGCTCCCCTGCGAGAGAGCACAAGTAATAAAGAGCTTCCAACGAATTTGTAGGATTGCAATAGAGAGCTAGTTTGAATTGTCAACCGACAAGCCTTTGTCTGGATAAACTGAAAGGACAAGAGACATTTGATACAGTTTTAATCAGGCTGCACCTTTATTATTAGATTCTTGGGATTATCTGGCAGATAAAGTATACAGGGCAGGTAACCCCATGATTATTCCATAATTACCTGGGGGCTTTTATCAACTCCCCCTTTTTTCCATCTAGGTCCCTCCAGCAAATGCTGGGACCTTACCATCCACTCCCCTCATAGGAGGACTTAGGTAAGCTATTAGAATGAGGGGGCTGGCTCCCTGCCATACCAATCTTAGGAAACCCCAATGTCCCCCCATTTGTTCCCTTAATGAACACCTCCTTTTTAGGCCTTTTTCCAAGTCATGTTTCCAGTCACAGTATGCCTTTCCTCTAGAGTGCCTGCACTGGACATCCACCCTACACTTAAAATAATACAGTTGTAAGGGGAAAATTCCTGCCCAGTACCTTTTTTAAAAAAGTGCAATACCCATAGTAGGTCTTGACGACACCTAGTATTTTCCCACCTAAAAAGGTAGGAGGGGGTGGGTCCTACTTCAGCCTGCTGTGTGTAAAAGGGAGGATTCAGGTTCAGGGTTACCCCTTTTAAGCCCTGCATTCCTAGGGAATGAGTCTTTAACCATGCTGACCTCTTTTTCAGCCATTTTTATCATCCCACCAGCCATAAAGCACTGTTCCTTTCATTCAGCCAGCCAGCCAAACATACCCATTCTCCCCTTCCCCACTTAAAGGTACAGGGTGGTCATTGTTTGTGGTAACCAAAAGGATGGTCAGCATGGGAGACTGTACCAAATTAACCAAGCTCTTGTTAAATTCACAGTCTTTGGTTACTTAGATCAGGTGATTCTATGGAGCTGGATCATGCTGCTTGTTTCGTATTTAATTTTAGGAAAACTATGTATGCTTGAGAAAGTCAAGAGCTTTAAG